AAGGAAGGTTGGGCAATCCTACTTCCGTAGTGATACTGCCTCAGAAACCCAAGGAGGGGTCGCTATGAGTCGGGGCCGACTCGACAGCAAACAACAAACAACAACATGGTACTTTTATTCTACAGTGGCAGAATGGAGTACTTACTGGTAACATACACCACATGTGATCCACAAAACCTAAAACATTTACTATCTGACCTTTTACAGATAAAAGTTTGCTGACCTCTGTTCTAAACTAGGCTTTAGGAACTTAGGTAGGTGGTTTCTGTTTCAATAATTTCTGTTTGAGGTAAATTGTCATCTCTTAGACAGCATGCTCCCAAACATCTGTCCTTTTGACAATAGCTGTCATCATGCCCAGTACTAGCACTGCTGTTGTTTTTTTCATTCCTCATGCTCAAATTCCATGACTTGGTTCAAATTCCATATTGTGATCTGTCACCATCTTAACTTCAAAGTAGAACTGACTCCTTCCTTAGGTAGATCAGGGAGCTAGGGCAGTGGGGCTAGAGAGCCAGTGCTTACTTGGACCTGGCCTTCTCAGAGAAGCTGAAACTATTTCCAAAAATTCTCTATTTGTGGTTGGATCATTTGTAATAGAATAGTTGTGGAAGAAAAGCTAGAGGGGTAGAGCTCACAAACTCCAAGTTCATAAAAAATACTCCACATCAGGCAAATAGCTTCAGGTAGGTTTGGGGAAAGGAGAATATAATGGAATTGAGGGTGATATTTTAGGGTCTCTGCCTTTGTGACTCAGTTTTTAAGTGCATGATTCATATCTCAGGAAACTTTGAGTCTCATTATACCCATTTCCCGACCTCACCAGAACATACCTCTCATCCTCCACAATGCTATGAACCCTCATTGAGGAGTCTTTGAGGGGACCCCTCTTACCTGCGGGACCAGAACTTGGGTTGCTTGTAGACAGTAGACTTTTGGAAGTAGTAATTTTTGAGGCAGTTGTAACAGTTGAGGTTGAAGGAGTTGTAGACGGAGTCGCAGTTGAAGGGGTTGCAGTTGTATTCGTGATTGAGGGGATTGTGGCTGTAGTCACGGTTGAGGGAGTTGTGGCTGTACTCACAGTGGTGGGGGTTGTGGTTGTAGTCACGGTTGAGGGCGATGTGGCTGTAGTCACGGTTGAGGGAGTTGTGGCTGTAGTCACAGTGGTGGGGGTTGTGGCTGTAGTCATGGTTGAAGGAGTTGTGGCTGTAGTCACAGTTGAGGGGGTTGCAATTGTAGTCGCGGTTGAGGGGGTTGTGGCTGTAGTCACGGTTGAGGGGTTTGTGGCTGGAGTCACGGTTGAGGGGGTTGCGATTGTAGTCGTGGTTGAGGGGGTTGTGGCTGTAGTCACGGTTGAGGGGTTTGTGGCTGGAGTCGAGGTTGAGGGGTTTGTGGCTGTAGTCATGGTTGAGGGAGTTGTGGCTGTAGTCACAGTGGTGGGGGTTGTGGCTGTAGTCACGGTTGAAAGAGTTGTGGCTGTAGTCACGGTTGAGGGGGTTGCGGTTGTACTCGTGGTTGAGGGGGTTGTGGCTGGAGTCCCGGTTGTGGGGGTTGCAGTTGTAGTTGCGGTTGAGGGGGTTGTGGTTGTAGTTGCGGTTGTGGGGGTTGCGGCTGGAGTCGAGGTTGAGGGGGTTGTGGCTGCAGTCGTGGTTGAGGGGGCTGAGGCTGGAGCTGTGGTTGGAAGAGATGGGGTTGGAGTTGTGATTGAATTTGTGGATAGATCTGTGGTTCCAACCTGATGGGCTCATCTTCTAGCCTCACAGCAACACATAAGCCACCACAGGACAACAAACTGACAAACAAGCTCATCTACCTTAGTTGTTCCTAACCTCTCTGCACCCACCTACCTCAGTCCCTGGCCTTAAAATAGAGCTGCCCACAAGTGAAAATTAGCTCCTGAGCCCCATACCTCCCTTCTTTGGGCCCCAGCCTTAAAATAGAGCCACCCCCAAGCAAAAAGCAGCCCCCGAGGCCTGCATTCACCTACCTCAGTCCCTGGCCTTAAAATAGAGCTACTTGACTGCTAACCAGAAGGCTGGTGGTTCAAACCCACCAGCCACTCCTCGGAAGGAAGACGGGGCAATCTATTTCCATAGTGATAGTGCCTCAGAAACCCAAGGAGGGGTCATTATGAGTCAGGTCCGACTCGACAGCCCATAACAACAACAACAACACAAGTGAAAAGCAGCTCCCAAGCCCTGCACCCACCTACCTTGGACCCTGGCCTTAAAATAAGAGCCACTTCCAAATGAAAAGCAGCCCCAGAGCCCTGGGCCCAAATACTTACTGAGTTTTTAATAAATGAGACATGTTCCAAGCTGATAGCTATGCATCATTGTGAATAGCTACAATATGTATTTTAAACCAAGGCCAAAACCCTAAACTAAAGAAGTATGTATGTTTTTCTGGGATATACAGATCTCAAGGAAGACAGTTTAGAGCTGACAGCCTGGGATCATATTATCTAGTAATACAACCCAAGAAGAACTATATCAGCCCACTGTATTCAACTATAGTTACAGAAATATAACAAGGCACTGGCATAGTAAAAATAGTTTTACTATTTTTGTTTATTCAGGTTTTGTTGCTTCTAAATAATATTAAGACCTCCAGTAAGACAGTAAGATGGCAGAATAGGCAGACAAGCTACATAGACCCTCTTCAAAAAAAAAAAAAAAAAAA